TCTGTGTTAATAGCTTTTCATTCTGCAAGAAGATTCTGCTGTACTCACACAGAAGAGGACATGGAGTGAAGCCACCAGCTAGAAATTCCAAGAATACTGAAACTGAAAATCACGCAGTAAAATTAGGTCCTTTCAGCCCACGGTGTGAGGGTGTAATGCCTTTCACAGTGTTTTGAATTATTTTCTCTTTATTAAGTCCATTTGATGGATCAAACAAATTTAAAACCCACTCAGGAAGCACTTATTTGGTACAAAGGTGGAAGTGTTATGGGTAATCTTACGACAACTATGTACTAACATTCTTGAGTCTCTCTCCTTGGGTTCCTTACAAATGTAAAAAGAAATAAAATGCATAAAGTTCTTTGAATCCATATGGTTCTTATATTTGGGAAACTTAATACCTCTTTCAGATATTACCTTAGTAATCCTCACAGCTTTTTAGGTTATTATTTTTTTTTCTGAACTCCGTATCATCATCTTGGGTGGAAAGTATGGTTGTGTCCTCATGACAAACTCTGCCTTCTATCCCCGGAAATACGGCTTGTGCAGACAGCTTTGGCTGGCTACCTGGTTTCCGAGTCCTGCTAAAGTGAATTCTTTTGTTAACTGTTTTTCCACTCACCACCTCTATTTTACGGATGAGAAAACTTAAATGTATAGCATCACAGAATTTAAGGGGAGAGAGGAATCTTGAAGATTAGGGCTGTTTGTTGCTAATAACTAAAAACAGAATGACTGGAACTGGTAACAGGAAGGGACTTGAACCCAGTTAGATTCTGTTAGTTATCTCTGGTCTCTGCTTCCTTCTTCCGCATTTCTGTACTGCTCTCCCTCTGTTTCCTTGTCAGTAAGGGAGAGTATGACCCAGATTTATATGCTACGATATTAAATATGCCCAGCAACTGAATCTTTCTGTCCACTGCAGTTCTGTACTCTTGAGGGAGAGATACTGGTTGATGCCACTCATAGTCCAATCAATCAATCAGCTGTGGTCCAGAAATAAGAATCACATGACTTAAAGGAATAGATCCCTGTGGTTTGGGGTGGTGTGGGGGGATAGTTAACAGGATCCTTGTAGGCTAAGCAGACATTCCAAAATGGGTCCCTTAGAAAGGCTACTCTCATTTCGGCCCCCCCACCACTACCATAAACACATCATTTTATACATAAGGAAACATCCCCCCCAAATATTAAATTATTTAGCCAAGGTTATAACATGAGAATTCTACATCTACTGCTATTATCATGTGTGATTTAGCTTTGTTGACAGTAGACTAACATTCAATAAATTGGACCCAAACTCTTTATATCACTCTGAATCCCATAGTTCCCTTTCCCCTACTTTTCTATTTTTTTCCTTCTAGGAAATTAGAGGAAATGCTAAGTAATTTAAAGAGACAATTTTTCAGAAGATCTTACCCTGGTAGTATATTAATCTGTCAATTCTTGTTTATGCTCAACAAGCATGTTTTTATGTATACAAGTGGAGGAAGCTATCCTTAGAACATGAGGACAAAAGAATCAAAACCCAAGACCTATGCTTTCTGCAAATAAGTCTCTTAAATAATTGAGAAAATAATATCTCCATAAATGAACGAAGTAGGGAACAAAAGTCAATGTATAGCAATGTAAGCTGAATTGCACCTAAATTACTGAAGGAAGAGGAAATCAGGACTGCAGGTGGAACCTTCAGAGAGACTTTCTGAAGGCAAATTTTTAACAGAGCTTCAAGGAGATAATGCTAATTACACCTCAGAGGCGGCTAATTTGTGGCTCTCAGACCAAATCAGCTCTACTTCTGTTTTGTTGGGCCAGCATCGTATTTTGAAAAACAACTCAAATTTGAATATTTTTACATGGGACCTGCTCTTCCGATTTAACCATACTCTGTACCACTCCTTCGTGTTTTGCTCCATCCCTTACTCCAGCGTGAGTCTGCTACCTGCCCAATTCCAGAAGATATCTCAGTTTGCAGGCCCTGGATGTCAATTGTCATGATGGCAGAAGGGGGCATTCATTCAGTCTTGGTAAATCAGAGGCCAAGAGGTGTGAGCCATGAATACATGTGAATGAAACAGGGTTGGAATAGAAGCCAGCCTGTATGAAGCTGAGGGACTCTACGGGTGGAATTATAATAGATTAAAAGGGATAGTTTCAGAAGGACCTGCTGATAGAGGCCCATAAGTGATGAGGTCAGAAATGCTAGATTTTCTCCATTAAGCAGTTGTCCATCATTCTAAGTTCTTGTTTGGGAGTGATCTGAGTTATTTGAGAGACAGTACGTGACTTCTCTAGAGTGGCTAAACCCGAACAAAGAGAAAGATATGAGCTCAAAACCTTTTCAATAATCTTGGTAGGAGACGACAGTTTGGATAAAGGCGGTAGTTCTGATGATGGAAAGGCAAAGAAAGAGAAGGTGCAGGTAAGAGGAAAATGGGATTAAATAAGAACAAGGAAGGAAAAAAAAGGGGGGATGAGACTGCTGTTTCCATAGAGAGGAAGAGACTTGGAGAGAAATGGCAGAAGGTAGCCCTCTGTTAGAAAGGTGATGAAATTGGTCAAAGCTGGTTTTCCTGTTAACACGCAGCAGCGACCCGTCGGCTCGTCGGTGTGTTTCCCGCTGACACAGTTACTCAGGGCCAGTCAAGAACAGAACAGGCAGCTGCATGGGGTCTTCTGTGCTTTATTCATTACAGCTTCTTTTATTTGTTGTTTTAATGTATTTAATTTCCTAAATGAATACAGATGTTTTGGATTACAATGCTAATAAGAAAAATCTGAAGAGATGCCCAGCGTCTTTTAAGTCGGGTAGAAGTGGAAACATTTTTCCTTCTGCCCGTTCAAGTTTCAGTTGATCCTCTTTGAAAATGCTGACTTGAAAATGGATGGGTCCCTACTCATTTTCAGTGCAGAGAAAGGGGAACAAATTTTAAGTGACATTTTGAAGAAATCATTATGTCGTCCGCTTTGAGAAGGTTCGAGACCTTGAGAATTTGGAAGTCTCGTGAAGATCGTCACAAAGTTCACTAGCATTCTTTCCTAGGATCTGCATTACTATTTGAAAGCATTAAATGTATAGAGAATGCTTATAGCATGCCAGTATTATTTGGTGTTAGTATTTTGAGGGTGTGTGTGAAAATCTTAGACCTGGCTTTTGCAGATGACTTTTGTGGCGATGTATACCTCATGTGGAACACAGAGAAATCGTTTCCCCAAGAACCCCAAGAAATATGGGATTCATATTTGTGGATGAGACCACTTAGGAAAAAACTCAACAAAGAAAAGAAACATTCCCGCTGGGCTTCATGGTTTATAGGAGTTAAATTTGTCATTGTTAAGATAGAAACAGAAGGCTCACTTCAGGTTGTCCTCTCCAAACCGTGGGCTGCAGTCAAGCTTAACGACATAGCCACAGGTGATGATGTTTGATTTGCTTTGAACTCGTCCTCTAATTGGATCCTTGTCACTACAGAAAGCAGCTGAAATTTAATTAAGGGGCGGGAAACTCCCAAGTCTAATTTAGCCTGGAGCTGCTCTGTGGGTCGCCTCTCAGGACTTTCACAGCTGTTGAGCGAAGGTTTTGGTGCAGATGCTAAATTAAGCCTCCCCTGGCGAGGCAGTCCGCAGTCCCGATGCAGCACAATGGCTTCTTTCTAGGTAGGCTAACTCGCCAACCTACCTGGACACGTTGTGTCCCACTGTCAGACTCCTGCTCGCTATCATGCTGTTGTTAAGGGTACCTTCAAATAAAATTTAATCATGATAGATTTAAGTCCTCCAACGAGGAACGAGCTTAATCATGATGAAAGTGTGCACTCCAACAAGGAACTCCATTTTCCTTTCTTCTAGTCCCATTGTAAATTTCCTAGTTGCTTTTGACACTAAACACTCCCTCAGATAATCAGCTCATCTGAACCTAGAGGGGAAAGCTGAGACGCAATTAAATGAGAAAATACACATTAAAACAAAATTCACAAAGAGGAAAATCTAAGATATTATCAAAATACTGTTTCAACAAAAACAAATTTCCCAAAGACAGTTTTTGTAAATTTCTGTAAGATTCGTGCCAAGAGGCTCATGAACTCCACTTCCTCCACTGGCTCCTTGGAGCTGGCCCGATGTCTAACTTAGGAGTGTGTCTTCCCACTACTGTGGATTTCCCCAACCACTGTCCAATGCACAAAGAGGATCCTTAACCACCGGTTGGCTTAGATTACACAGAACATACCGGATTTTTAACAATCCAATATACTCACCTGCACAGCAATGTACTGTATAGATATCATACCTACTGTGCAATGCCTCTAGTAATAAAAGAAAAAAAGCTCTCATCTTTTCATGATGTGAACAACTTAATTGGCAATGAATAGTTTTTACTCTATCATATGATCTAATGCGTATATGACTATCTGCAAGTTGAACTGAACTAAATTTTTGGAATGGCAAAAGTCCTGAAGGTTCAGTTTGAGATGATAAAGTGATGCAGTGGGCAAAGCCTACACATCTCAGACTGAGTAATGTTAGGACAACCCTTTGTTTTTGGAAGCAGGGAAGGTAGTTAGTTTATTAATTTATTCATTTTTTAACAGAGGCACTGGGGATTGAACCCAGGATTTCATGCTAGACATGCGCTCTACCATTAAGCTCTCCCCTCCCCACCAGGATGACCCTTTAGGGTTAAAGCAGATTCTGAGCACTGCTCTCGTTTGTCTGCCTTCTTTAACACATGGGCTTACGAATAGCAAATGAAGCAGGAGATGAATGTGGTATTGTGAATGAAAAGTATTGCCAGGCCTATTAGCAAACAAAGGATGCTGCGGCCATCAAGTCATTAGTCGCTACTGCCACTCCCGACAGCGAGCAGAGGGAATGCAGGATGCAGACAAGGAGGCAGCCTGGCCTCTGCTGCCACCCCAACAGTGCTCCCTGAGGAAACTCAGGATGTGAAAGAACAGGACACTGGCCCTAGGGAGCTAGGTGCATATCAAAGGAATGATTTCAATGAGCCCAGACCTCTACACCTTCCCATACATATAAAAGTACTAAATTCCTTAACTTGAGATGCCTGGTTTTCTTTAATTAACAGCAATCTTTCGACGTTCTGACTACCTGGTCTTTGTTTCCCTCCCTTACTTTGGCAGAACAGTCTCTTAGCGCGCTCTGAGAGGCTGCCTCCTGGGTTCGAATCCTCAGAAAGTCCACCCCTAACATGCAATGAGCAGTCAGGCTACTGAAAGGCACTTTGGATACCAGTGCTAAGTTCCTTTAACCATTTCATTCGTTGGGAAATATGAGGATGGGGGAGTTGGACTAGGAATCATTTTGACCAGATTGCCTGTGGTGGCTGGAGCTTCACGGCGGGTTGACACGGGTGACTTGTCCTACCCGGTGACGTTCAGCTTTTTTCCCTGGAAATTATATTTGCATATGGAGGAGATACAAGCGGTAAACATCCCCCAAATCATCTCTTCTGACCTTTCCAACACTACTGATATTTCTAATACACTGGAAATTTATTCACTTCAAGTGAATAAACATTGGGATAATTCAGTGACTCTCTCATTCTCCTTCCAAATATGTTGCTTTGAGTAAATACAGCTTACGAATCCCCAAGACATATTGTCACCGTGTTACCGTGTGCTGTAAATGGAACAGACAGTTAAAGGTCAAGTCTTCACCTCAGCCCTGGGTTTCCTTTGCTTTATACATTTAGATCAGATGCTAAACTTGGCTTTAACATATTTTCTTTGTGGTTTAATTTTCCTTTGTGATTATTTCTTTTATTCAATGGGAGTGTAAAAATGGCCCAAAGACTAAAAACAAATTGCAGCTTATTTTTAACATAGGCACTAAGAGGTACTCTGTTAAATTTGCCTACGGGTCAAGATTAAACGTTCAGGATCATTTCGGGTTAAAAATGCAACAGTGAGACATTTACATTTTCTTAACAAAGCATAGGGGACTATATTCACGTGGCATTCTTTCACACCCCCTTGGGCCCAAGTCTTACAACAAACAAGGAATGAGAAAATGTGGGCTCCACAGTGACTCTCAGTGTATCTCTGGTCTGAGCCTCCCTAGAGATGCCCTGAGGCGCCTGCATGCAACACCACCCTGCAGCTCGTAATGACTCCCGGGAGACTGGGAGGGATTTCTGGACATAGAAGACGGAAAGGCAAGCTGAGTCATCAGGGCAGCACCCCAGGACCACCGTGAACTTCATAGCAGTGCTAAGAGTGATGTGTATCCATCTCCTAAGTGTTAAAAGCTGCAAAGAGGTTTTTCATTTCAAACTTACTATCCAGCCTATTAATCTGTGTTTGCTTCTGGCACTTCATTCAGTTTATACCCTGATAGTGAACAGGTCTGTTTTAATGGTATGTGTAATTCTCATTTCTTAAGAAACGTGTTAAAATGTTTGCTTCTTAAACAGGACAAGAGGTTTTTTTGTTTTTGTTTTTGCTTTTGTTTAGACATTCACTTGCCTGTTTGCTTAGTGAGTAGCAGAAATATATTTTTGTATACTTTGGCCTTCATGTGCATAATGCGTTCAGCAAATCCTGAAATGCATCTCTGGCAGAATATCCTTTGATTTTATCCAGGACTTATATATATTTAACACCTGGATAAATTCAGAGTTCTTTTGAACTAAATGAAATCATTGAGAATCTAACAGTTACCGGACAGCTGTTAATAGTTTTAACAACTTCTTACAGTTGCCCAGAGGGAGAAAAATGTGGTCCATTTCAGGTCCTCATGTAAAATAGTGAATTACACTGGGAACAATAGCTTACCTTTAATAAAAGGGAGACCTGTTTATTTTCATAGGACTAGTATTTCAATTAGTTGAAAGATTAAAAATCATCACTTTCTTTGAATTAAAATAAGAATTCCCTAAGAAATAGACACATCGAAAAATGAGAAATGATTTTCTTTCTATTCCTAGTCTCATTATGGATGGAGAACATATTTTGAAATGACACAGAAAAGTGTTTTTCTAATAATGTATATTCTCTGAATAACAAGGTGCTTATTTTTCTAAAATGTACTGAAAGTCAATGTTATGTTAAATTAATGGCAAAAATAAACATATACAATTTAAAAGTCTCTATTTTTCTAGGAAGATGTAGGATGCTTAAGAAAAGGAAGATGATAATTAAATGATATTATTCTAAAAATATCAAAATCAGACACTTAAATAGCTGCTTTTTAATTTTAATATTAATGAAACTTCCTAAATTCTTATTTTTCCACCCAAGAAAATAATCCACTAAACCACTTACCTAATTTGTAAAGATGTGTTTTATTACGTAAACAAATAATTGCAAACAAAACATGGTTGTGCAGAATGTTTGAGACTAAGCATGCTAATTTTAATAAAAATATTTCCCTAGTAAATTCTTAATAGCTAGTTTTTTTTTTTTTGGAAACATGTGTTTCCACTACTTCCAAAGACCTGGTAATCGTTCATGCAAATGAAAAAAAAAAGTGTATGTTTTCCATACATGCCTAAGTTGTTCCACAAACATCTGGTAACGAATCTTTGAAAGCTGCTGGATCCTGAGCCAGCCCAGGTGTTCACTACATCTCCAGAACTCAGCAATTGCCTGCAGTAATTTGTTGCAACTCGTATTGGCATTTTTACGGTTATGATGAGGCAAAGGGTGATGACATCATGTGCTAATGTTACGAAGGTGCTGTGAATTCAGTGTGAAAATTCCATCAATGAGTGATTGTTACCGAAATTGACTACATTGGTGGCCATCACATTTTGCCAACTGAAACATCTGGGCACAAGTTAGTAGTGGCACACCTTGTAAATAACTTAATTGAAATTAATTGCCAGAAGTTTGCAGCTCCCTAGGTAGTTTATAAGTACCATTTCTTATTCTACTGCAATGTTTTGGGCTTAAGAATCTTGTGTTCTCAGATTCTGTTGTAGCAGCTTGTGATGAAAGTGAAAAGTGTAGAAAATATATGAGTAAGACCACATGGAAATAAAAACATTACTTATATATATGGAAGAAAACATTGCTATCTCCTATTTCTACTTTAAAATTAATGTATCTAAAGCAGTTTAACAAAAGAGGATAGTTAAATAATTAGATACGAGTCTCTATTTCTCCCGAAAGAAATATCTAGTATTTTGCCCATGTTGCAAATATCAAATGCTTATTGTATTGATAAAAACATTTGAAATTATTACGGACTATAAAATTGCATATTTGAAGAGACCAAGGGCAGTTCTGTGGAAAAACTAGGAAACTGGATAGGAAATATGGGCCCTATTTTTGCTGGACAGATTTTAAAGCATTTAGAATAAATTTCTAAATTATTCATAGCTTCATGCATCGTAAACAGGGAAAGGTAACCAAAAAATTACAAGGATGCTGTACTCAAGAAAAATTAATTGTTCAATAAATTTTAACGTCAGTTCCTTGCTTCTTCCCTTTTTAACTACCCATACTTTTGAATTTTTGCCTTTTAAGAAAAGTTTTGCAAATGTAAAGATATTTAAAGATATTAAACATTGATAGTTTAAAATTGACATGAAAATCCAATTAATAAATTAAAGTTCCTAATTGCCTTGAAAGTACCACGACTTATTTTTCCATATTGCAGTATAAACCTCCATAATGCCCTCAATATTTCAAAACTTTAATGAAATCTCTATTTTTAAAAATAACGGTGGTTTTGTTCTGTATGTTCAGTGAGAAGTTGCATCCCTGTATCTAGCTTTTTTAAAAGTTTAACACTGGGAAGACGTTTTTCTAACTAGTGTGATTCTTCTTATTATGTTAGGAAATCTGTGCAACTCATATATTCTTTTTTTTTCTTTTTTCTTTTTTTGGTTGACTACTAAGAAGTTTAAAGCTAATTTCTGATTAAATCAATAATAATCCTGAGTCCCATGCTTTCTGGTTCAACCAAATTGCTTTTTCTACCATTTCTCCTGTTACATTTCTTGGCTTTTGTGCTTTTATACTTGCTTCCATAATCAGTTATATCTATGTTTTCTGTGTCAATTAAAGTAGACAGAATTTAAATTATAAATAGTTTAGAATATCTTAGACTATCAGATGATATTCTTTCATACAAAATGTTTGTGATTCAAAAGTCTGTTTATTCTTCCCAGACCTGTGGGGTATTTCATATCTTATTTTTCTCTCCTTATAGCTCACTATTGCAAAAATAGCACTTTATAACAACAGTGTTCTGCTTTGTTTTTGATAATAGAAGCCCTTATGTTCACAAATACGCTTTTAGTATACCCACACAACCTGGCTAGTACGCTGAAGGATTTGAATTCCTTTCCTGAACAGAAACAAAAGAATGTATCTCTACACTCATTCGTAAAAGTAATCTTGATGCTTTGTCATAAGGGACATATAGGTAGGCAAAATGAATTAAATGCACTATCCAAATGTAAGAGAGAATTCCATTTAAATTTTGCTTTTGTTAGAAACAAGCATGGAAAGTATGGGCAGAGAAGGAACTTTAACTTATGGTTTTAATCTTCAGCGTTTGAGTCCCTGTAAATGTCCTTGAGGTTAATATTTTAATAGTATCAGATCAAATTAAATAAAGAATATATGGAAGGAATGGCAGGCAATTAACAGAACCATATGAAATCAATGATAGTTGCTTTTTAATCAGATTTCCACTCAGCTGTTTTTCACTACAAACAAATGTATTTTACAATGAAAATATATTAAATATTTAGAGTTGTAGATAAAGCTATGTGATTTTAGGATATATCTTTGTGACTTAAGGAATAAAATAAGCCCTGGTTCTCAAGGATCTTGTTATTAATAACAACAGCTACATTTTTTTAAAGCTATAAAAGAGCCTGAAGTAGAAAAATGAGTCAGGGATTTTGCTAACGAGTTGCAGAATTGAAAGACTATTTGCAAATGTCCTTAGGACACGGTCCTGAGTAATGCGAGAAATAATGAATAGGACACGGTCCTGAGTAATGCGAGAAATAATGAACAAGACGTGATACAAACACTAAAGGAAGGGGCAAGCTAAAACTATCCCTCAAGTGGAAATAAATCACTAGTTTTTTGGATGAAGAATGTTACCTGCCACATCAGTGAACAAATGGTGTAGCCATCCAGCCATCAGCCTGAGGGGGTTCCGGATGGAGGCGAGCAGGATGCTGGCAGGCACTGCATAGTTAAGGTGCATATCAAAGGAATGATTTCTATGAGCCTAAACTCTTGCATCCTCCCATACACAGAAAAAGCGCTAAATTCATTAGCTTTAGATGTCTGGTTTTTCTTTAACAGTAATCTTTTGATGTTTCTACTACCTGGTCTTTGTTGCAAAAACTCCTATATGTCCTTACTCCTCCCTTACCTCTTTGGAGCAGTCCCTCAGAGCTATCAGTCAGCTGATAAAAAATCATGTGTGGTACCACTCCGTACTCTTTAGGATGGCTACTATCAAAAACCAGGAAATAAATGTCAGCAAAGGTGTGGAGAAATTGGAACCCTTGTGCATTGGAGAATGTAAAATGGTGCACATTATGAAAAACAATATGGTGCTTCCTCAAAAAATTATAACTAGAATTACCATATGATCCAGCAATTTCACTTCTGGATATATACCCAAAAGAACAGAAGGAACAACCCAAGTGTCAATGACACATTATATATACAGTGTATATATGCAATGGAGTATTATTTAGCCTTAAAAAAGGAAGGAAATTCTGACACATGCTAAAACATACATGAACCTTACATTATGCTACATGAATAAGCTTGTCACAAAGAAACAAATACTTGATTCCACTTACATGAGTTACCTTAAGTAGTCAAATTCATAGAGATAGAAAGTAAAATGGTGGTTTCTAGGTGCTGGGGGAAGGAAGGAATGGAGATTTACTATTTAACTGGTGCAAGTTTCAGTATTGTAAGACGAAAAGGGTTCCGGAGACAGACGGTGGTGATGGGTGCACAACAGTGTGAATGTACGTTATACCACGGAATATACTTGAAAGTGGTTAAGATGGTGAATTTCATGTGTATTTTACCACAATTAATTAGTTAATTATGTACATAACACAAATAAAGATATACTGAAGGGATTATCTGTGGAAAAGGAGATCAGAGATGTTTAAAATTCTTTCATGCTTTCTGACCCTTGGATAATTATAATCTCATTTCCTGGTGACTTCCTTTTTTTCCCTTTAGCAGAATACCAGCCAATAGTGTGACCTTTTCCACTGCTGGAAATCTTGGCGCTAAGTGGCTTTTCCACTCCCTTTCTAACAAGTCGGTGAACTCAGAGTGCTTCTAAATTAGGCACCATCCTTCCCCGCAGATGGCTTACATTCCAGGAGGGGCACATAAACAAGAGAGGGGCAGTCACAACACAATGTGGTGGTGCCAGTTTCTGAAAAGTTCACCTGAAGTCCTGATGGTGTTGAATTCCAGAGGGCTTCTTAATAGTACCCTAGCATGTCTAGGTGACTAAGCAGGGTGGTATTAATAGCAGCATAAAACCTTGCTGTTCTAATTTGACAAGACATAATACTGAGAAATATCACGTACAATAGCCCACTGAGATGAAAGGCTTGTTTTTGTTCTAAATAATTATATGGGTATGAGGGCAGGATGGAGAGGACATGATTAGCATGTAGAAAACTTTTTGTGGTTTACTCGGAAAAAAATTTCAAACTATAGGGTCCATAAGTATGGACGAATGCTATACAATAAACAGGTGTTTCAAAGGTCAAGAGTGAAAGGTGAGATTATAGGATTCAACTAAGTGAGGAAAATTTACAACCAGACTTTCTTTTAGCATCCAAGAAAAGAGTCCACACCACTTAGGTCATTTATTTAACTTGAGCAGGAAGACTCAATGAACTCAAGGCCATTCCAAAACTTCCTATATGATTGATTGAAAAATTAGCCACAAAAGCAGATGCTTTAATTGGAAAATTTTCTTTCATAGCTTGGTCTCTGGGTTTTGTAACTGTTGGCCAAATTTGGGAAAAATATTACAATGTGTTTGGGCCACTGGGATTCCATCATAGTGCTTTCAGTTAATATAAGAAACATGCTTGAAAATATGAACGGAAATTATATTTTTTCTTTTTGATTCTTCAACAAGATTATTATCGATCCTTTTAAATGTTCTTCTATATATTTTTCTATTAGGAAGAAAAAATGAATAGAACGTGGTTCTTGCATGAGTGAAAGGTTGCAATTCTTTAGTTCTCATTAAGCAGAAATTCAACACTTGGTAAAATTAGGGTATCCTTAATTATTTTTAACAACAATAAAGGTTTACGAATCCTCTTCTCCTCAGTGGTGGGAGAATTCCTGCCATTTAACACGATGAGGTAATTCAAGTCTGTTCATCTGAAAACACAATAAACTCCTCCTAGAATTTCACACTTAGAATTTCAAAACATTCCAATAAACAAAAATGTGTTGTTTGAGTGAACTTTTGAGGGTATCAAGAATAATGGGTCGTCCTTATTCATCTGAATTAATTTAGGAAGGAAAAAGGAGAAGTATTTAGCTCCATAGAGGTTTTGACTGTGATTTTTCTACTGAAGAATTTGGGGAGATGTATCAATTTCTTTCCCAAACCTGCTTCTTCTGGGACCTGTATTTCAGTGAATGAGGTCGTCATCCTCCCACATCTGCTCAAAACCTCAAACTCTACTTTGACATCTTTCTCTCTTCACCCTACCCACATCTGCATAGTTTTAACTTTTGCAGAACCTCACGTTTGCCTTCTTTTCAATCTCAAAAGCCATTAAGGTTATTGAAGAAACCTTTTAATTCGGCTCCCTACCTTTGGATTCTTACTTATCCAGTCTACACACATGAAGCTGCCCGATCACCTTCCGTGGTATCTCGCTCTAATGCTGACCTCACGCTCTCACGACTTCCCCATTATCAATTCAGTTTTTGGAGCATGCCTAGTATCAAATACTCTCAAGGACCCATTCACAACGTAGCACTCTAACATTGTTTCCCACTACTACCTTTTACGAGCTCTAAGATCCAAGATCTTCTAACTTTCCATGTACAGGATGTTACTTTTACCTAGGACGTGCTTCCATCACTGTGTCTCAGTGAGTTTTGACTCACCCGTAAGACTCAGCTCAGATTCTGAACCCTTCGCAAAAGCCTTCATTTTTCCATCCTCCAACTTCTCATGGTCCTTTATATGTATCACCTTCCTTGGCATAATTTTGATCATGTGTTTAACTTTTCATTTACACTTTAATTCTTTGATATATTTCAAGCTCCTTTCGAGCAGGATTTACAGGTGCTTTGTCTTGTGATAATCCACACTCCAATTGTTCGATAAATACCCATTTTATCTGACATTTAATCTGTTTGTAAGGTTGAAAACCCTTGAGAATTCAGGGGTGAGATGTACAAAGGAAGGCAATTTACCCATATTTGGATAATGTTATGCCTTTGTAAGTCTAAAGAGGAGAACTGAGCTCAGTAATCCCAAAGCTATTGTCATAAATTTGAAACTGTAACACAGATTTTATGAAAAACTCATAAAAAATTCATTACATGATATCTCATGTGGTGATCAATTGATTTCTCAATATGAAAATTTCCATGTAGAGGGCACAGGTACAACAAATATAAGGAAACAACTTCCATACTCTATTATCTTGTCTGTTGTCTGGTTCTGATGATCTGACCTTGGCTTTCCCTTGGAGACATCCAATGCAGGAAACAGTAGAGCCGACTACTGCACACTGCCCTCTGGTGAGCCACAAAGGTAATCTAGAGGGGAAAATGCATGGTTGAGAGTATAACTTACTTTCCATGCCCAGGATGCCCGCTGGTGCCAAAGAATGATGTCACATTTTGTGATGTGATCACTTCTTTCAATTGTGTTCTCTTGAGCCTACCAATTCTTTCCATGCAGGTCATCAAACGGCCATCAGCTGGTAAAACTTTCCTCTTCACTTGGCCAAAAATGGATCCAGAATAGTGGTAATAAGTCTTACTAACCCAAGCTTTAAAACAAATATCACTATTACTCCCACCACGTTTCCCTGCATCTTCAAATATCCCCAGAGCGTTGCATGAAAATAGTGGTAAAACATACCCTCTTCAGTTTGCAAAGAAAACAGACTCTTAGTCATGGACATGCTGAATTTCTACTACATCCACATAAACAAGACGTATTTCATATATAAAAATGTAGAATTTTCTCATCATTAAAGAGAAGGCCAAAGAGCAACTAACCAACCCAATAACATTAGAAGTACTGTTTGACTTGGAAGAACCACAAGTGTATCTGGCTTTTGACCATATTAAAACAGCCATGTTGTAGGGTGATATTATGCACTTATTCATTACCACCTGACCAAATACCGTCCATGACTAAGTCAACAACGAAAAGTTTCAGAATAGAAATGGAACTACTCAAAACTCTTTTTCTAGGAAGGACACGCATAACCCCATGTCCAATGGGGCGTTTCACTGGCTCCTGTCATTGACTTTATTTACTCTTTGTACACAAGGACATTTGTTATTTTCTTATCCTATTCCTACCTTTGGGAAAATACATTTTGTAAGAGCAATACCGATATTGGATGATCTCCAATAAGTGGAAGTTTCCTTCTGAAGAAAAAAAAAAGATTTGTAGAAACATTGAATAAGTGCCTTCTTGTTTAATGGAGTACTCATCTTGTTTTGAAAAAAAGTCCTCTTTTATCAAACATTTGACTTTATTCAAACTCTGAGCAACTGATCTTGCTTTGGAAGGTTCTAACGTTCTAAAATAGGATTGTAAATTTTCCTTAAGTAGAAGTTGCAAATCCTTTCTTGACTCTCAATCTTTTAATTTTCTGAGGCTGCTTACATGCAAATGCAGTACACTGGTTTTTACTTAAGGTTAATTTATCACTTTCAAATAAGAAAACCTCCTGTGGTAGGTATAATACTGGTTTCCAAACTGTCTTCTAAAATGGCTAAAGCATTTTGCATTCCCACCAGCAATGAATGAGAGTTCCTCTTGCTCCATATTCTTGCCAGCATTTGATATTGTCGAGTGTTTTAGATTTTGACTATTTTAATAGGTGTGTAGGGGTATCTCATGTTGTTTTATTTTGCAGTGCCCTAACGCCATATGACATTAACATCTTCTCATGGTCACTTGCCCTTTGTACCTCTTTGGTGAGTGTCATTAAAATTTCTGGCCAATTTTTTAAGTTGAGTTGTTCATTTTATTATTGTTGAGGTTTAAGAGTTCTTTACATATTTTGGGTAACAATCTTCTGTCGTCTTCTTTTTCTCCTGATGTCTTCTGCAGAGCAGAAGTTTTTGATTTTCGTGAAGCCCAAGTATTTCTTTCATGGATCATGC